CTTTTCCAGGCTTGGCATTCAACAAATTACATCACCTTATCACCTGTTCCCAATTAACTATTTCACAAAGAACATGAAATGATTTGGTGCTTATGGAACAAACTCGCTAGAGTGTTTCATAGGCAGTTATAGATAGATACTTTATTAATCCCAGGAGGGAAACTGCAGTGCAACCGCAGCCTAGCACAGTCAACACAGCACAGTGTAACAAAACGATACAATAATACAACAACACAATACAGTAAGCACAGTCAGTGAGAAGTGCAGTAAAAAGGAAAAAAATTGAGTATACAGCATTGCACACAGTACAGAAGATACAAAACAAACCAGAATGTACAGTACACAAGAAGATGTACTGCACATTATAGGTATATTGCACAAATCCCCAGCATATACTGTATTGCACATCCGTTGCAAACCAGCTCTGGAAAACCAGAGAATTCACGTTTAGTCCAAAAACAGGTCAATGTTGCCTCTGCCCAGACACACAGTGGATGAGTTGTAAAGTCTTATGGGAGAAGGCAAGAATGACCTTCTGTAACGCTCCCTATCACACCGTGGTTGGATCAGCCTATTGCCGAATGTACTCTTCATTCTGACAAACATGACATAGATGGGAGACATTGTCCATGATGGCCATTAATTATCAATTAATCAAAATGTCAAACACATTATCAATATCCAAAATCTATAGACCTTGTTTTCTAAAAACATACATGCATAAACAGAGTGAGAACTTTCATTTGATGGTTAAGGTGATAGATTAAAAGTTGGAAGAATGCTCAGACTTCCACTGCACAGCACTGAGAACCATTTCAGTTTTTAATAGCTTGTATGTCTTATACAAATTGTATTTTATTTTAATTGTACTTAAGAAAAAGATAATTTACTGAATTTACTAAATATATATTCACACATATTTATATTATATATACAGTAGGCTATATTAACTCCATATGTCAATATAGATTGTCTCTAAATTACAGAACTAGCCTGCAGATGGAAAATGATAGAAGGGATTAATGTGCAATGGAATGTGAGTCTTCCATCCCTGTATATTAAGGAAAAACATGATTCAAATTGAAAATAAGTTTATATAAGACTAGGCCCAGTGCTAGATCAAAAAACCCAAACAGCTCAAGCTGCCGTATGATGGGAAGTGGTTACATTTCTTTCTGTCTTCAAATCTGCCTACTTCAGAATGAGAAGTAATACTGTCCATCTGTGATAAAACACAATATCAAGAACACCAATAATCAGCTTAAAGACTGAGGTCGACCTCTGTCCTTAGTGAGCTCCAAAATAATAATAACAAAATATTATTGTTAATATTAATTTATAGGAAAGACAGTGGCCTTAAACCTGACTGAACTTGAGGCTTGTAACTTTCAGTCTTGTTTTGTGCCCACTGTACTGCACATGCTCACTTGATCAAAAGAACATCATTGCAAACTTCTTCTAGACTTTTTCAATCCTTTCACTGAATTCATGTGCTTTGATTTTGTGTGAAATCCCTACACAACAAACAAAAAAAGCAAACATAATATCAGAAAACAAATCAATCTTTCTGCAGCAATATAATTAGAATCTAGAATTCAGAATTTCCATCCTGTATGTCCTTTACTTCTTTAAACATTGATAGTACTGTTTTATAAAGGTGTTTAAGCTGAGTAAACAAAACATGAATACCACAAAGCAAGTTAGGTGCTTTGCTAAGGAACAGTTGAACAGGGAACCTTTGATCCTAAAAGCCTTTTTGATCAAACATAAACATTCATGCCAAGCTCAAACACCTATGTCAGAGGTAACACAGCCAGGCAAAAACAGAACCGGGATGTGCATATCAAAATGACATTGGTTTATTATTTGGAATGCATTTACCATACCAAACTAAAACTAAAATGATCGACGAGAAGGACATGTTTTATTTTCCTCTGTGTTAGGCGGCTGGTCACTTATTAAAGTGTCAAATGAAATATGCCATTTGAATTCAAATGTTTTGCATTTGTTTAGGACCAATAATATATTCTAAACGCATGGATATAATGCTAAGCAAGAATTTCCTCTCACTATGAACTATAGGTAAATTGGTTTCCTTCACTTCTTCCCACAAACTGCTGCTTAATCAGAACAGACCTCCTTCAGCTGTTCTTCAGTTTTAAATGTTGATTGACTGAGTTAATGCCATTCTAGCCCCACTCCTGAGAGCAGAGTCTAAATTTATGATTTGCAGCTTTACTACAATATGTCACAATACAGATACTCTGCTAAATGGACATCTTGATATAATTCCCGGTACAATTTACATTGTCCTGGAGAGAACATAAACTAACAAAAGAGGATGATCTCAAAGTTATCGTGACAGCATTTTAAAATTAAGGCCTATAGTGATAGAATTAGAGCAGATCTTAAAAGGAAACGAGTTCCATAAGTGAAGAAGACCCAATATGAGATTATATTGATTGATCAACATAAGGACTGATAGACTGAAAGGTAGAGGAAAAGATAATAAACTCCTTTTAAACTTTAATGAGTCAACAGCAACATCATTTATCATCTCTTAATTTGTCATAATATATTGTTTATAGAGGTACAGGCTGGATTAAATGTAGGGAAATGGACAGATGGATCCTTGTCTGAACAAGATCACGGCAGAAATTGATACCTCAGATTACACAGAGTGACAAAATAATTACACTAGATTAACACAGACAGATGTACAGAGAGCAGGTGATCCTGCCTGGAGGTTAATAACAACAGTAAGTAAAATTAAAAAAAGAGAAAGAAAGGAAGAGAGAGAGATCAAGAGGCACATAGAATAACTATAACATCAGATTATACAGAACTGAATACACTGTAAAATGATAAATATTCAGACAGAGATAGATAGGCAGGTTGTTGGGGGAAAGAGCTAATATAGCAGAAGGCAAAGAGCTTGGCAGACCAACTGTGGTCAAAATTAATCCTTTTCATCTTCAAATCCCTGGTGGAAGGTACTTCAATTCCAGTATTAAAGACACCCTGGGGTCCGGGAGTTCATGTACTGTATGTGGCTCTTTGTCTGAACTGAATGTTCGTGCTAAAATGTATGTGTTGTGTTATACTGTATGGTTCTATCTAAATTCTTCTAAGCTGTGCATGGTTACATTTCGCATGCTATTGTTAGCTCTCCGTAAGTGCATTGTGTATGGTATGGCAGTGCACATACTGTAGATCAATTTTGGCGTGTGAGGAGCTTTTTGCTTGCATGCATGCTAGTGAACATTTGTGCTACAGTTCACATCAGTGTTTATTAGCTCTATTGTGAAAGTAAGTGTAATGGAGAGAAAAGAATGTCGGGGGAAGGGTTTATGACCATATGCTTCAGTGATTGATTTGCAGGCAGAAGGCAGGAAAGTGATCAATGGCTGTAAAGAATAAAAGGAGAAAAACAGAAAAGGAAACGAGACTTCCTTGAAGGGAAAAAACAAAAGAGATGTTGGTTCACATTGAAGGCACTGTACAACATATTCCTCAGACACCCCGATGTATAAAAGCATTTTGAGTAATACTGTAGGTTGAAACTATGGTAATCAGATTTATCAAAGTCACCACAACAGAGGTCCCTCTGTGAAAATTATTATTCAAATGTCACTTTAAGGACTTTTCACTTATTGTCTGTAATCATTGCACCCACATAGCCATCCAAACAGATGGTGCCCAGTTTCAGGATAAAAGATACCTCTCATCATGTGCAAGTGTGACAAAGAATACAGCATACTAAGGTTAGCATACACACAATACAACAAGTAACCCTGGCACTTCAATGTCATTAAGCATTATTGTGAACTAATATTGTGTTTGTAATGCACAATTACACTGTGGTACTGTATAGACGAACAGGGAAGTACTACAAGACTGTGGTAATATATTTTTTTGCTACTAAGCAGTATTTTTGTAATACAGGGGCCCTTAAGAAAATTATTTCTTGTAGAAAATTACCAGTTTTCCATAAATACTGCTAGGTTCTTGAAAGAAATGTGCATATTTGTACAGAAAGCTGTAAACAAATATCCCATGGGATATCAATAGGTTATTTTCTAGATGTACACTAAAGTCCCACGCAACCTGTCGTGAGCTAAAAACAAACCAAGAACAAAGAGTATCAGATGATGAAAAGACGGGTATATTGCTGAATAGGCAAACAACAACAGGTCTTTCACTGCAAGAAAAGTCTTTGTTCTTCAGTAAAAGGATTGGGTACAATTGCCGCAAATATACGTATCAATCGCCAGTCACTCATTTTGCGCGTTTAATACTCAGATGCGCTATTCCACTGCTCTTTGATTTACGGAGCTCAATCTAAAAGTCTATTGTTCCCTTTTCCAGATGCAGGCTAGTTTTACTGTACTGCTGCCATACACCAACTAAATGGTATCATATTCATCGCTATCCTTTGGCTTTGTTTGAACAATGTCACACCATATGAAAAGCGATACGGTGAAACCTTACCGATAGCTTCTAAGAGCAGCGGTTGTCTAAGCGAAGGGAGAGCTACACATTTTTTTAAAGAAACAATCAAAATGTAAGTTTAAAATACATATGCCCAGAAACTACATTCCGTACATATGTACAGCTATGTAGCTGTGTTACACTTCTAAAAGTTAATGGAATATATGTCAGAAAATAAAGTTGGGGGGAGGAGCAGGAACAGAATTACTATTTAAATATAATCAACACAAAGCCACAAGATAAAAATGTAGAGTTTCAAATAGAGAAAAAATAATGTGCAAAATAATTAAATAATTCGCTATAGAACAGAGATCGGGAAAGACTGGATTTCTAGTAAATTATTCTTGAAACGACAAGTGTTGCTATACAGTATGCACGCACAGTTAACTATGCTGGTACCAGTCTGTTCGGTAAAGATCAATATCGATAGGGCAGCTGCAAGATTGCTTACATCCGTTTTGTCTGTTTTTAAACAAAATCTAGGTCGTTAGTCTAAATGCACACCTTACCTTGTATTACTTCAGGTAGTTTTCCAGTCCACTCTCAAAGAAGGTTTGTAAGTCCATCGAAAATCAAATCTTATATCTTCTTTTCTCCTTAACAATTCATAAACAACAGCCAAGCTTCATTCTTAGATCCATGTTTTGGAAAATAAGTATCGTATCCAACAAAAGACAAACAGTATCCGGCTGTTTGTGGATCAGCAAAACCAAAATACAAATAAAACCTAAGGGAATCTTCCACTAATGACAATCCTTTAGCAAACAGGTCAACCCAGTTTAAATCGCTTTTAATTAACTTAAAATAAGTTAAAGGTATAAGACAAACATGAACAGACCAGCGACATAGAGCGCAAGTTCATACATAAGGGGTTTTCGAGAATAATTTTCCACTAATTGTCTTTCATCTAGTGTCGTTTTGCAAGACGATCTGTTTCTTCCTGTTTATCATTCAAGCCAGAATTTACTTAACTTCAGCACAACCACAATTTTAAGCTCATAGGCTTTGAAATCATACTGAACTGTACAGATTGTCGTATATTCTTCCCAAATTATTGCTGCTGTATATTCTTGCATATGCTTTGTAAAATAATAGTATTTAATCACATAACTTTTGCCTACTTTGTTGTACAAGGTCACCAAATACACGCGTGGAAATGTGGCGATTTTTTTCACCCAGAGGAGGTAGCTTAAGACTGTCATTAGCCATGTTCTTTAAATTTCTTTTTGATGTTAACAAGAGACAGCGTTATCTCGCAATGAACTGGCAGGTTCCCACCAAGCCCTGAAGTTATTATAACGTATCTTCTTCTAGTAGGGAGTCTGGCAAGGTAGTGCGTAACGAGTCTGATCGAAAAAGGCTTCGCAATAATTTTGATAACATGAATTTAGCTCGTAGCAATAATGAAAATAGCCTGTAGCTGCGCTGTTAAAAAATAACGTGAACGAGGTAAGCGTTCGCACTCGTAGTAGTTGTTTATGAACTACACAGATCAATAATAAAAGAAAGTAATAAGACACATAAGATGTTCTGCTCGTGGAGGCTCAAGAATCACTTTTCAAATATGAAGTGCATCCCAGCGTGTTTCCGACGGCCGTTGTGAACCCGGGTCCTCAGTCATTCCACAAGTTTATTCAGGCGCTGTTGCAGCAATGGATGAACGGTGATGAAACCATAGCGAGAAACATTGTTTAATGTTTTGAGAGGTGAAGTCATTCAAAGTCCCAAATCAACTACTGCTCCCTATTTATATCCCAATACAGAAGCAGCGTGTTGCAGTTCTGATACAACACCTCCCCTCCTTTCCTCTTTCTACCTCTCGCTCCCTTTCCCTCCCTCTCACGGTCTCTCCTGGACCGACCAACCGCATTCGACCAGCGAGAGAGACAATAAACACACACCTCCCCCTTCTCTCTCTTGTCTCCAATTCAGACACTTTAAATTTTTAATCTCTAAGATCTTGTTGAATACTTCCCACACTATAGATACTTGACACATTGGTTTTTAAAAAGTCAGTTATTTAAGAACATGAATCATCTTTACACGTTTTGCCTTGTTTTTTTTTTTTTGGGGGGGGGGTCCTTTTCTTTACCCTTTTTATTCTTCTGACCCAAGAAATGCGTCCTTAAGTTCTTGTTACAACATATTTTAACTTTTGATGGTAACTGGAGGAAACGTATCTCGCATTTGTTAGGTTCCCATCAGGTCTTAAAGTTATTATAGCGTATCTTCTTCTAGTGGGGAGTCTGGTAAGGTAGTGCGTATATATTTTATTTCCACATCAATATATTTCTTTACAATCGGGCATTGTGGATAACATCAAGCAGTACAAGTGTAATTAACTTTGAATGTAGAGTAAACCAAATACAAATACATTCATACAGTCAGCCCGCATTTAGTGCTTTTTAAAATGTATTTAAAGAACGTAAGGCAATTGATAACCTGTACTGTAAGTACAAATTACAAAGGATATAGGAAAGACGAAGAGAGACAATTATATTGTATTGTAGGCTAAAATAAATAATCAAACAATATTTCAGTATTACAATAGCAAAAGAAGTTTGAAAGAAGTAAAATGACTCAAATCAAAAAGGAAAATGTTTAGATGAATATAAGGAATTGACTGAAGTAGCAAATTAATATTTAACAGAGAGCATGTCTCATTTTTTAGAAAACACAAAGTCCTATATTAAATTATATTCTCATAAAGAGGCAGAAATGTAAGTTTAACTTAAGAACATTATTTCCAGGTCTCTATGGTATTCTACAATTGTGCATAAGGATGTTTTTCACAGGCTATTAACACCATTCTATAAGCAGTCTCTTCAGATAAACTCATTATAAACCTGCTAACAGAGCCTCCATCCATAAAAAAACAAACAAACAAACAAACAAACAAACAAACAAACAAACAAACAAACCAAGTATAGACCAATGTCTTCTATTACATACAAGATCATGAAAAAATACTTAGAGCTCAATTCTGTATGGCGATAGTAAAGGGAGAGTAAATATGGATTTAGAAGAAGCAGGTATTTGTTCCCCTTGATAGAGTGTTTCTTAACAGAGCATATGCAAGATGAATTCTCAAATTATAGGAAATTGATTTTCAATGTAATGCATGTACTTAAATTCACCATGTCTTAATTCAGAATTAACCAGAATACCAAAAACAGAGGGTACATGTAAAATACTAAATGCTCAGATTGGGGGAGATGTGATTAGTGAACAACTGTGTTTGTACCACTGCTATTCTTAATGTATATTAATGATCTAGATTCTGGTATAGCAAGCAAACTAGTAAAGTGCACAGATGATGTCAAACTAGAAAGAACAGCAAACATTGTATAAGCTAAAAAAGAAAATTAAAAAGAAAAAGTCTGGGCAATAAGAAAAACTACAAATAAATTATAAACTACAAATATAAAATGAAATGAAAGACCTAGCCTAAAAAGGCTACCTATGAGAAAGACGTAGATGTGCATGTAGACAAAATTTTCATTTTCTAGACACTATAGGAAAGCAAATCAAAATGGGCAAAGGATATATCGTTAAAAGTACATAATCAAATCAAGGGATGGTATGTTGAAATGGAGCAGCAATACTTCATTTAGAATACTGTGTAAAATACCAATCACCAAGATACACAGACATTTTGATGCTCTATAATCAGCTGAGAAAAGAACACCTCACACTGACAAGCTAAAAAAAATGAACCTTTTTAGTTGTGAACAGAGAAGACTGACAGACCTGATTCAAGCATTTTAAATCCTTAAGGGCCCTGACTGTCAACCCTCAGTGACACATGAACCAGAGAACACAAGGAGAATAAGATAACACAAGATCACTTTATTGACCATATACAATTTCTTGTAGTAGGAATTTGTATTTTCACATACCCCAACTTGCTCTCCATGAGACACACAGACAGGGAGAGAAGCTTAGGGTCAGCCATTTATAAGGCACCCCTGGAGCAGTTGGGGTTTAGGGCCTTGTTCAGGGGCCAAAGGGAGTAGGATTCCTCTGCTGAGTGCAGGATTTGAACCAGCAACCTTCCTGCCACAAGTGAAGAGCCTCAGCCACAGAGCCACAGCACCCCAAAGGTTATGAAAGGAAGTGCAGTTAGATCAAGATAAACTAAATGGATTTCTCTTATAATTCTGAAGCTTTTCTTTATTTTAGTAAATGTATATGATGTACACAAGGGTAATTTAAAGCACATGGCTGAACATTATATTTGTCACTGATGGCAAAAATAACAGATATTATATCAAAATCAGATTTCTCTTACATTTTGCATGTGTGCGCGCTTGTGAAGTATTTCATTTTTAATTTATTTAATCTTAATTTCTTATATAAAAAAGCACTTTTGTATTTTTTCAGTTTAGCTTTTCTGGCATGTCTTCACTAAAAATGTAGCCATGAACATGGTTTTATTCCTTTCATTGGATTAAAGCAAATATTTGAAGAAGTGATTTAATTCTTTAATAATCAGATACTTAAATAATCCAATTTACTGTATTTAATAATAAATATGCACAAAAAGGAAATACCAACAAATGTTGCAATTTTGCTTCAGTTTTGTCTGATGCCACATCTGAGATTAATCGACTCCCTTCTTGGCCAGAAGAGGGCATGATTTCATTATGCTTACACTAAACCTCGACAAAAGCAACGACTTGTGGCTACTACACAACACCAGTCCTGTCATAGATGTAGTGTATCTAGAGATTATACAATTTTTTTTTAATTCAACCATACCTATTAATTTACTAAAACTGTATTGGGATCTCAAAAGAGATAACTAAACCCCCTCAATTTAATTTCCCTCACAAATTAACACATAATGCAGACTGTCTTCTTAAAATCCATACAATTCGGAAATTCCATATGTCCTGTCAGAATTTCATAGACAGGCAAATATGCATCACCATAAATTTTAATTGTGGTATATCAAAGTAAAAACACAGTTTTCACTACATTTACAGTAAAGAATAGTAAGATTTTAGGAAGAAAGCAATATTCATATTTTTTAAACATCTGTCACACCCACACTGAAATCAGACTGGCAAAGACTAATAATCTTCCTAAACAGCATGCTAGCACTAGCAAAGTGCTTAAAAGTTCTTTAAATATGGGACGTTTTGTTCTATGATTGAATGTTAATAATGCTGGTAATTAACAAGACCGCCGCATGTCAAACCTAAGACATTTATAAACATTCACTGGCAAATGAGCATGTTTCAACATCACACAAGACAAGCATCTGAAACTTCTATACAAATTCTAGTCTTGATTACTGAATAAGAATTTGCTTTTTTATGTTGAAAGAACATTCATTTTAACTTCACAAGAAATTTGTTAAACAAAGCATTACCACTCAAAACACAATATTCAGTGTAGACCACATATTGGCTAACATTCATTCTGGAAGCAAATGTGTCATCATCAGATATCAAAGTCCACAAACTGCAATATACTGTATGGACAGGTTACTTGTAAGAAAGGAAATGTGTCTTCAATATCTTCTGATTTTTCTACAGCATAACCAACTTGCAGCCTGGTCTCAACAGATCTCAGTAGATAAGCCAGTAAAAAGATCATTCGGGACTTGGAAGGAAAGCCCTCGTGGTAGACCAGGGGGTGGCACTCTTCTCTCTGGCCCAGAATTTACATGCTCGAGAGTGATGACAAATAAGGGTGCCATCCCTTGAATGTTCTCATTAATTGGTCATTAAAGATCACAGATGTTCATAATGTGCCCCAGCAGGCTTGACCTGCAACACCTGGGCGTGAACCCGGGTCTCTATGCATAACGCAACAGGGAACCAGCCGAATGAGCTAAAGGACACCTCCCCTAACCCAGGCGGCTGAGGTCCCTGCTATGCGCAGGGAGGGCGATGACGTCACCATGCCCAACCTAGCTCCGCTACAATAAGAATAGGGGTGTTATCCCTAGCTAAATAGCAATGGGTGCAAGGCTGATCCCCTCCTGTATACAGTGTATATAAACTGCTTTGGAATTCTTCGGGGAATGAAATACACTATAATAATGCAACACATTCATTACTGGCATTGTGAGAGAAATAGAAGTTGCTTGAGTGGAAGACACTAAAATGCTACATTTTCCTATAGCTCACAGTGTGTTTCCATTTTCACTCATCTGGCTCTTACACAAAGCTATCTTTCAAAAGTGCAAAATGAAATGATTCAAGGACAGATGATGTTTTCTTTAACTATTCAACTCTTTATTTTTTATTTTTTTACAAGAACAGAAATTTACAAAAGGTCTCTGCCAGCTTCAGGAAGATTTGAGCAGCAGACTAAACATTACAATGTTCTGTTCCTTCCAAGGAAAAAACAAGGACAAAAATCAAACCAGAGATAAACATATAAAGACAGCAATAGATTGTAATAATCTAGTTACATTCTACTACAATTTCCCCATGCACTGGAGAAAGCTTCAGGGATCTCTGCATGCTGGCTTCTCAAGCATCAAAACAACTTTCCTAGTCTTTACAGTTAAAAAAGCTAGAGCATTATGTCACATACTGTATTATACATCCAATATGCTCTTATACATATATCTGCAGATATACGATTTGGCCCACTTTAATTGAAACAGGTTTTTAATTGATCTATAAATTAATTTATAAAGTGTAACTAAAACTGTTAACCTTCACTTGTCATTCATACTTGCTCTAGTCCAAACTCATGCATTCCAGCCAGTGGTTAAAGAGAAATTGTAATTTAAGAAATAGAGTACCAATGCTTATACAGTATAGTGGTATATTTCAAATATAAAGAAAAGATGTCCTTTAAGCCATAGTCCTTGCTTTTTTCAGTGCAATGTTTATATGTAAAAAAGCCAAATATTGAATACATTTTAGAATCTAGGATTATTTTGCTACACAAAGTTATAAATCAGATCTGCAGCCTTGTCACTGTGCTCCCACAATGCCCTGGCAGAGCTACAGTATACAGTACATACACACTGCATCTACAGACAAGTAGTTATTACTCTGGCAGAACATAGGAACACAAGTATCTTATTGATCCAATGATTTCCTTCAGCCATTGCTTGATAGATGGTAAGGAGTCAGCCTCAACAAGGTGGCAAAATTAACGTCTATTCGGAAGTGAAAGACTTCTAGCCTGTACCAGTAATGCTGAACCCTGCGCAGGCCCTTTTCCTGCAAAGCTGGCTTAACCATATCCTTAGGATCCCAATGCCTTCTAGGGCTTTATTCTCTCAAAGCCCTAAAACTTTTCTGATCTAATTATTTGCTTTATCCACCCCGTCAGTCATTTTCTTTTGCTGCCTTTTAACATACCAAACAATTTTATAGTCTGTTTGAAATCTACAAGTGTCCAAAAGCTGGGGAGAAAATTATTTAGTTAACCTAACTGTTAGCTCATTAAGTTGGAATGAAAACTTGAAGACTCTAGTCAGGAGTCTAGTCTAGCCTCTAATCAGACAGGACCATGCTACAGTATGTAATTAATGTAGTTAACAAGCTGTATAGGTCTAATGATGATATTACTTTGAGAGATTGTTTTATCCTTGGTTGTTAAACAGGTATCAATAACATTTACAGCAGAGATATTTACAAAAAGAACTTTGGTTTTGCAAATCATCTACTATACACACCACAACATGATGAGGAAACACATAAAGGGTGACAGAGTGATAGTGGCAGAGGAAGGGTATGAACAAAGAACTTCCTGGTACCATCTTATCTTACCCACTGGAGCATCTATACAGCTTTGTGTTTACCATTTCCTTTAAAGCCTAAAGTATGTTAGTAAAAAGAATCAAACCAGGGATTAAAATGTAATGTAACCTAGAAATCCACAGTAATAAGACACAAGAAATATGGACTCATAACAGGAACTGCACCAAATACATAAGTAGGTGAGGGAATAATGATTGATATTTTACATTTGTATTAAATTAATCTGAAGGCTACCTGATACATTGGTATCTCTGGGAAATCTCAAAATTATCTATACTGATTTAAATAATACTGTACAAAAATCCTACATTTGTGTTGGATTACAATGCTCTACATTTTGGAACATTCATCCAATATAATGGAATTGTTTTTTGCACAAATTTCTATTAACCACCATGGTATAAAAATCTGTGTGCCCACGACAGGTCTTCAATGTTGTACAAAACTAAGCTATACCAGATCTTGCTGCGTTTGCTATCTTTTGTGTGAGGTATTGTATTATACACATTATCTGTATGGAAAAGTAGATCGTGCTATTGTGGCAAGGCATAACAGAGTAGGAGAAGGAACATGGCGTTTCAGTGGCTGAGACCTGAAAGACATGATTCATGGTTTGCTCAGAATAGTGGAGTCCTCTTGCGAATCAGCTTTAAAGTGTGCTGTCCTGACACATTTCGCAAGGGAAAATAGCTGTGAAATTTATTTTGACTAATCTGGCATTTAACAGGAAACCAAGGTTACTTTACAATGACTCCCCTCCCCACTATAAAAATACAATTTTGCATAGTGTTTTGGGATATAAGGAGGAATATACATAAGAAGCATTTAAAGAGAGATTTTTAAAAATGTTTTTTTAAAACTATTTTTCTTGTTTTATTTAAATGATAAAATACCGAATAACCTCTGCATGGAAAATTTGGAAACATGTTTTTTTGTTGTTGAAAAAAGAACCCTAAATATATCTGTTGGTTTAGTTCAAACAGAATTCAAAAAAGCAGAAGAACTAATTTGTGTACAAGATATGCACTGCTTCAGAAAAAGTACACCTACATGTAAGGGTAGATGGGACACCCCACCTTCTTTCATCTAATCCATTATCCATTTTGAGACTGGCCAAAACACTTCTGATTGGCTCAGTCGTCAAAGTCAGGGATGTCCTCATAGGAATAGCCACGGTAACCTTTTGAGGCATAGTAAGCAATGCGTAGATGGTAGAATCCTGGGAGGAAGACCAGAATTCCAATGATGAGCACCGGCAGGGTGCGGTCTGGATTCTGGAACAGACACAGAAGACAACAACAAAGATTAATGAAGTGCCACTGGTATTTCTTGTTTAAAACACTAATGCCCTCCCACATCAAGACTTAGCCCAGATTAAAGGTCACTGTTTGGCTACAATGATCCCTAGTTTCTACGTTTCTACAGCCATACTGTTCCATATCCCTTGGTGACACTCTGCACGTGGGTGGGTATTAATGCTGGGAGAATTTTAAATACAGTCTCATGCAGGATAAGACTTGGACTTCAGGTGGCTAAGATAAGGACACTGAAAGGACATACGTCAGAGTGATGTTCATCCATCGAATACAGTCTTAAGAATCAGTTTAGAGTCAGTACAGAAGTCAGTACAGCTGGCTTCATTCGTCTTTATATTACACTGCCTTACATTCTGGTGGCTAAACATCGTCATTAAAATTAAACCTGCATTGCATCAGAATTAAAATAAATAAAATGGACATCCTGCTTATACTGTATTTACCAATTTCATAAACAGTATTTTTGTGGTCAAACCACAACAAAGATACAGTACCTCACATCCAAACATCTTAATACCAATGCCAAACTTTCTTCCAGAAAAATATGCCATAATAAGAGGTAAACTTTACAGTATTAGTTTGGCTACAATGATCCCTAGTTGCTTAGTTTCTATAGCCATACTGGTCCATATCCATTGGTGTATGTATATTAATTGTCAAAATGCATAAAACACATGTTGAACCTTCGGTAGGTCCTTTAACATTTAAAATGTGACTTTCCTGATTTCACAGATTTCAATCATTGCATATCAATTTTGTATGAAATGCAAAAATGAGATCCTGAAGATTTGTGCTTATTAAAATTACTTGACTATTGGAAAGAGTAGGTTTGTTCACATTTATAACCTGTTTAAATTTGAATTGAGACTTTAGCCATCTTAAAATTCTAAATTGTCCACCTTCTCCTCTGTTCATCAAAGCAACTAGTGTTGAATGACAGAAAGTGCTATTTTTTTGGTAGGGGATTAAAGGGAGTACTCAACTGTCTTTAAAAACTTTGAATATAAAAAGACTAGACAACTGCCTAACACCGCCATATTAAGTGAATCACCCACCCCCAAAACCATTTCTTAACACCTACAGAGTTTTGCACTTGGTAGAAGCCCAAATTTAAATACAGCTATGCTTGACCCTGCATGAACAAAACAGAAAGAGATACACGTCTTTCAGAATAGATTATTCCTTGTGCTTGCTGGCATGCTACTGAGTATTAAGAGAAGTGTGCTCAATATAAGATTGGCAGGGCTGTATGTCATTATTGTCATTAAAGCAAGAGGACCTGTTGGACTTTTGTACTCACTGTGACCTCAATGTATCCTGTGAGCAGCAGGGCACCTATGATAATCAGTAAGGAGCCGATCAGGAAGAGGACAGCTGCTAGGGCAATGGCCTTGTATGGCACTTTAGGAGGGCTCTTCTTGAACTGCAGGACAGAAATGCAATCTGTCAATTCTAATCGCCAGACATCAACCATGGGTACAAGCTGACAGGGTGAGGTTTAGAAATACAGATCTCTGTAAAATTTAAACATTCATATATTCTGAATGAAACAATTAACATAAATAAAACAGTAAAAATGACTTATTAAATATGTAAAACACTTTTGCATATTTTTCTTTAAAAAAAACGTACAACGTTTTTTTTTAATTGTCGCTGAACAACTGGAGCGGTTTAAACATTAGAACCCTAACAGAGGATCTAAACCAGAGGAGGCCATTTAGCCCAATTTCCTCAGTTTGTAGTTTAATAAGGGAAGGGAAGCATTTCCCAGAGATCCACAATACTGTATAAAGAAGTGTGTTCTACTCTTGGTCTAAAAAGAGAAGACTAAGTCAGTTTTCAATTATGTCTTTGTTTTGCTCCTTCTGCTCCCATAGATCCCTGTCCAGCATGTTTTATAGGCAGCTTTTTGATCATCAATTTCCAGAGACCTGGAACAATTTAATGGTGATCATTTAAGCTGGTGATTTTGAGTATTTAAGAGCAAAACTACTGAAGTCCCTTAATAGAATAAATGACTTACCAGATTCATCAATAAATTACAAGTGTTCCTAATCTTAAAAACGACAAATGACTTGAGTCACCCATAAGACAAACTGGACTGGGACTCTTCAGGACCAGGTCTGGAACTCTTTCCAAGGTATACTTTGCCCTGTATGTATAGAATAAGATCCATAAAGCTGGAATCATTCTATTTGCTTTTATTAAACTGTTTTAAGGACTTAATATCCCTTTTGTTTTATGATATGCAAAACTGAACACAAGATTCTAAGTTAGGTTTTATTAATGTGTCATATATTAGCATAGCACCTTGTTAATTCCCGTTTTAATTATCTACCATAAATAGGACCCTCTCATGCATAGTTTCGTTCAGCTCAGAATTATCCATGTAATCTGTATAATGCATATCCCTGCTCCCTTTGTGGATCACTAAGTAGCTAAATTAGCCATGTTAAAATGTCACGTTTGTCAAGTGGCTGTCCACTGTCCATCTTGTCAAAGCTTTTTGTAATTCTCTGTAATTGCAGTTTCTATTTTCTAACTTACTATTTTAGATAATTTTCAAATTTAACTATAACAAAATCAAAGTTGTTGATATGGAAAAGGAAGAGCAATAGGTCTAAAATGGATACCTGTGGTAGACGCTTTCTGCCCCTGCCCAATTAAAGACTTTGGTCTTTAAGATAATACCCCATTTTTGTTGGAAACCTTGGATCGCTATAGTTTATATTTTGAGAACGGATTTTATACGTGGAACACAGTCCAAAAGTTCCAGGTAATTTAAAAATAACATTTTTTATGCTTTATAGAAGGCAACACGTTGGCCCTTTGCTAGCACTGCCATGTCACAGCGCTGGGGCCCTGGGTTCAATTCCCAAGGTGCTATCTGAGCGGAGTTTGAATGTTCTCCTTGCATTTACACAGATTTCCTCTTCCAGTTTAAAGACGTACTGGTAGGTTGATTAGCTTCTTGGCCCTGGTGTGTGAACCCTGTGATGGGCTGGCATCCCCTTGAGGGTGTATCCTGCCTGGTGCCCATTGGATCGATAGGCTATACAGAGTTATCATCTATCCATGTTGATCCTTCAAAGAATTCTAGTACGTTAGATAACACCCTTGACTAAATAACATGTTTTGTTTATTTTCCAAGTGAAAAGAAGTTAACACAACCTCTGCAGCTAACAAACATAACTTGACATATTTCTGCCAATTTTAATGCACAGTTACTATTTATTGGGTGAATTTAACAGATTGAAAAAAATAAAACAGTAAATGTGGCATGTGTAAAAGTTTGGTCCAGTCCAAATTGTGTAATTTTTTGTTAGGTCTCAGAACTTAAATTAACTCGATAGGCCTTAATCTAAGTCAGGTGATGACAATTCCACAGCTTTATATATTCTGTGACTCTTCAAACCTCTCAGGGTGTTGTGCTTACACTCAACAATCATAGGCTCCTCTAAGCAGCTGACTGAGAATCAGAAAATAAAGATAATTGACTCTTAAAAATCAGGGGAAGGCTATAAAAAGATATCTAAACGCTTCCTGTTAAATAAGACAAGATCTGGAAGACCAAGAAAAATCTGATAGAACTGCTCCTAGACTGGTCAGGAATGCAAAGCAAAACCCCCCATATCCCAGGAAGGTTTAGCTTGCATGAGAGTAGTAATGCACCAGTCCACTGTGCAGCATTGCTTGCACAAACATGATATCCATGGAAGAGTCATCAGAAGAAAACCTTACCTGCGATCTCATCACAAAAGTCAACCTTTGAAGTATGCAACACAACATTTAGATAACCCAGAGGTGTTTTGGAACCAAGTGCCACGGCCTGATGAGGTATAAATTGAATTCTTTGGCTTCAATCACCAAAGGTACAGTATGTTTGGAGAAAAAAAAGGAGAAGTATTTGAAGAAAAGAACACCTGGCCAACTGTTAAGCATGTGGGTGGATATATTATGCTTTGGGGTTGTGTGCAAGCCAATGGCACAGGAAATATTGTGCGGGTAGAGGGAGGAATGGATTCTACTAAGTATCAACAAATCCCGGAAGCTAATGTCCCACAGTCAGTGCAGAAACCGAAGCTGAAAAGAGGTTGGATATTTCAACAAGACACTGATCCAAAACATACCTCAAAATCAGCCATGAACTACTTCAAGAAATGAAAGATTAAGGTTTTGGAATGACCTTCACAATCCCCAGACTTGAATATTATTGAAAAACTGTTGGTAGATCTCAAACATGGAGTGCATGCAGGATGACCTAATAATATTTCTGAACTAGAAGCGTTTTGAAGGGAAGAGTGGGAAAAAAAAATCCTAAAGCAAGAATAGGATGACTGTTAGCTTGTTACGAGAAACATTTGGAGGCTGTGATTTCCGACAAAGGGAATGTTACTAAGTATTGACTGATAGGGTGCCCAAATCTTTGCACATTCCACATTTACTGTTTTATTTATTTTCAATCTGTTAAATTCAGCAAATAAATAGTCTCTCATCCTAGCATTAATCCCGCATCAGCAGGGTCCGCTTTTCGGCACGCCCGTCTCCATTTGGTGGTTTGAACCAAATCTTTGAGCTTAAATGCAACCGAGAATACTCCAACCGGGGTGTCGCTCTGCCTGCCATCGGGGGGGGAGAACAAAGCAATGTAGCCAATTCATAGAGGGGGCTTATTAGGAGGCATGGGAAATTTGGCCAAGACGCCGGGGTTACACCCCTACTCTTTTCAAGAAACACACTGGGATTTTTAATGACCACAGAGAGTCAGGACCTCGGTTTTACGTCTCATCCAAAAAATGGCGCTTGTTTACAGTATAGTGTCCCCGTCACTATACTGGTGCATTAGGACCCACATGGACCGCAGGGTGAGGGCCCCCTGCTGGCCCCACTAACACCTCTACCAGCAGCAACCTTAGTTTTTCCCAGGAGGTCTCCTATCCAGGTACTGACCAGGCTCACACTTGCTTAGCTTCAGTGGGTTGCCAATTGTAAGTTGCAGGGTGACATAGCCGCTGGCTTCAGCAAATTAATAGCAAATGTGTACTAACCTTTGCCAAAATATGTTTAGTTTAGGTTTGTTTGCTGAAGAGGTTGTTAACTTCTTTTCACTTAGAAAATCAACAAAACGTAATTTGGCCAGGGGTGCCCAAACGGTTGCATAAAACTGTACATATCTTTATTATCTTAGTAATTGAATAAATAAGGTCAAGGAAGCCACCAGAAAGTGATGCTGGCCACTAAAGTCTCCCAGAAAAAAACCAAAACATTTTTGTTTAGATGGTCATTCTTTAGGGTGCAACAGGGTTTTCATTTCAGGGGAGTTTTGCGGTTGTCATGGCAATGGCAAAGACAGAATGTTGCCACCTCTCCTCTCTTACCTGCAAGTCAATGTAGCCATCATCACTGTCTGCCAACTTGGAGTATTTCACCTTGCTGCTGGGCACCCCACTGGTCACACTGCTGCGAGCAGGCATCATTACACCACTGCAGCACACTGCGCACACCCTGGGAGAGTGAAAGAGAAATACCACTACAGAGCTGCTCAAAGCCACAGAGAGAGCAACAACAGTAGGCAGAGGGAAGGAACAATGTAGAATGTATAGAATAGCTCCACCTCGAAATAAAACTAGAATAATCACACAATTCGTTCCTAATCGTAAATTATATTAAGAATTATTACAAACACGATATTCGAAAGTCTGAGTTCATGCAGTAAGGACATCACATCATTGATTCCAATAAAACCTGTAACATACGTTTCAACTAATCTATATGTTAGATGACATTACAAGAGCTACCCTAAATATAGGCAGGAATGCATTTGATACTTTCAAGACTTCTGTGAGATGTTAAAATGGGATTCTATAAACAATTCCAAAACAAAGATGAAGAATAAGAATAATTATATCATAAAAACGGCAGGCATATTGCAGACAGGTCAAGCAGATAAGGAACAACAACCCTTCACTGTCAATTTAAATTTAAGGAAAGGTTGTGCGCCTTTATTTCTTATAACCAAGCATTATAAGACAGAGCCCTGACAATAAAAAAAAAAAGACTGCGCAGATAGTTTGTAAATCTTCTGCTACGATTAGTCATTTCATAACAAAAACCTGTCCAAATAACCTTCAAAAGCTGCCACTAAACAAAATAAATTGCACCTCTGATTACGTTGACTTTTTCTCTCCGTAACACAAAAAAGTTAAGTTACAACAAACTGCGTCCTGCCTCACTACGGTGTTCCACAGAATACTCTGCACCGTATGTCTCACTAATAACAGCGCCATACCATCCACTTCCGGACAGTCCACTGCGCACACATTAGACGTCATTCTTATGTCACACCATCTGGCGGCCTACTTACGGAGGTAGCATGTATAGACACAGATATTTGATATCATACTGTAGTTCGTTAATCTTTTACTATTTCATAAAACAATAATAATAAATTGTCAATTTTGTGTATTACTTACGATTTAAGAAGTAACTACTAAATCCATCTGTTTTAATCCGTACAGGTTTGGTTAGGGTGCAAAAATGTTTTGTTTTGTTTTGTTACGTTTGGTAAATGCTACAAAAATACTGTGCAATATTCAATATACCGCAAGGGGCACTACAGGATAAATAATCAAACGTTTAGCGCTTCAGCTAATTTGACAGATGATTATATTTTCCCATTTCGGTTATCGATGGTTTAAGCATTTAAATATAAATACCGAGTCTTTTGACAGCCTTTGGTATCACAGTATAGTTGTATCCCCAAAAGAGAAGGTAGACCAATGTACATTCTGATAATAAAACCTAGTCTAGTACACAGGTATAGTCGTGATATATAGTATCGGCTTACTATTGGTTCGTGAAGTATAAACACTTTTAAAAGTAGTTTAAAAACAACATCAGCTGTCAGAGAACGAGACCATATAAACCAAAATCATGGCATTTTAGGACGTCTGTTAAGAATGTTATTTTCTTTGGTTAACGCCATGTTTTGTCGTTTGTGCACTACATCTAAAAAATGTCCCTGTTTTACTGTATATATTTATTTATGTTCAACCTTTACTGGTGGAGTGGTTAATAGCAGTCAATCTGCATTTGTAACTAGAATGAATTTGCATAAGTTGCAGATGCGTCACATACGTTCAGGATAGGAATGGTAATGTTGCGTGAATTAATTCCTCATTTTCTTCACCAGCTAGCTGGAAATACTGTACCTTCGATCGGCCAGGGAGAAAGCAGAGGTCTGGGGTCATACATCAAGTTCAAGTGTCGACGTTATCCAAAGCCAGTGCTAAAGACATTGATAATAAAAAATGATGACCCATAAAATAATTAAACATTTCCTTGAAACAGTTGTCAAACAGCGCTAGAGCCTCTCGCTGATGTGCAACAAAACCATGAACCTTCGACCCTCAAATAGAAAGTTTACAATGTTTTTTATATGTTAGCGTCACTTCCCACAAACCCCAACAACGTCATTTTTTGGCAGTGGAACCACGGTAAGTGTCTGAGCCAATTTCGGGAAAGGATTTTGCTTCAAGGACAGATGCTGCCGTCACTATTCTAATAGACCCAATAATATATGTTAGGGAGAGGATACATCATAGTTCTTTCTACATTCAACAAAAGGAGAACTTGGAATATTCATTGATTTTATTTTATCATTCAAAAATAATAGAATAAGGTTGCATGCTATTTCATAAGGTATTATAAATGAATAAAAACAGAATATGGTACACTTGACATTGAATTTACATTTATTTTTTACAGTTTTTGGGTATTGCACTTAAAATTCTGTCTTGTTCAGCGAAATTTAATTGAAAACCACTTGCTGGAGCTTTCAGTTCAGGTTGAAAATTAGTTATTGCCAAATGGGAAAGTACTAAGTTGCTATTTGTTGCTGAGAAACTTATGCTTAAATGTTTTTGAGGAGCTATTATGTTTTCACTTTCGCAATAACCAGTGTCATACAGGTCTGTAAGTAGATCCTTATCAATTAGGGCATTAAACTGTGAAAGGGGAGAACAGAACAGACATCATTATTGTCATCAGAAGCTTGTGTTGTGAGAGGGTGCCCTTTTATGAAGTTCGATTTCCTTTATTGTTGAATCGAAAGATTAAAATGATCACAATTATCACTTTTAGTGACACTGTTTAGAATAGGTAAATTGGTTTCCATTCATTGGTTAGCATCTGTTTAGGGAGGGAGATTTAGTCCTGGACAGAATCTATTATAGAGGACCTGGATCTCTAAATCTTAAGGTCTCAAGATTATTTTATCCATTTGAATAGCCTTCCCTGAAGCAATAAACGAAACCATAATTCAAAAGACAAAACTAAAGAGTTTTTTCAAATAAATGCAAAGAGTGTTACATCATTTTCTACTGTATGGGAAGCATAGAAAACTACTTGTCATAGTTGGATAATAAGTTATGCAACCCAACAGAAAAGGTAAAGGTTTAAGAGTGTAGAAGAGTTAACTGTTACATTATCTACAGTAATATGGAAAGGCAGCATAAAGCTAATCCTTAGAACATTTAGAGATTTATTCAAGCCTGGTTAAAGCTCATAGAACTGGGGAACGTACTGAATAAAACATTTGAAATTTATTTTCTTAAACTAAGAATAAAACATTATGATATACTGTATGTGATAAAGCTGGTGGATTATTGGCATACAGTTTACAAAACCAAACAGCTTTATGTTTGATCCCCTCCATTTTGATTGAAGTTAACAAGAAAGTCATATTTTTATCTTGTGATAATTCAAGAACCTCAGTTAGAAGATATTCCTCATTTTAACATGACATTATTTGTGAAAAAGATCACTGAAGACTTAGATGGAATGACCTTCACCTCTTGCACTGGGGTAAGATTAACATACATAAATTAACATTTTACCTCTTAATTTTTCAGGAGATTGCTTCAAAAAGTTTAACATTTTGTTAAGAAGGTTCTTGTGGAAAGATAATCCCCATAATTAGCCATCTTTTAATAACTCTAAAATATAAATAACTCTCTTGTGTCTCTTTTCTTTTCCTTTCAGCTTGAAATAAATATTTACATGTTCCAAGAATCCTATTAAACCCTTTTCATGTGAAATTGCCTCCATTCTTCATAAAATTATATGTTTCTCTGGACTCTAGTCCCCTCATGCACTCCTTTGATGAATGGTTGTATTCTCAAGAAGGGAAAACCCTTTGTTAGTAAGAAAGGGAAGCTAAAAACGTCCCAATCTCTGGTACACATCTTTAAAATAATATAAGGTTTTTCAAAGTACTTTACAAAAATCATATCTAACAAAGACTTCCTTCTTTATTTGAAACACAGGGACACACCTCTTAAAACAGGCAAAAAGATTTACTCACCTAACAGTATCACAATAGAAGACAAACATACAGGGATTTTTAAAACTAATAAACATGTAGCCAGTCAACTGTATCAAATTGTTAATAACTCTGGAACATCAGTGTGTCATGCGGTTGAGTTAATTTAGGAGAGGGACCTAGGTGAATATTTTGGGCTTGAGAAGTGGAATAGGTAAAGGAATTATATATACAAAGGGTTTAATTCCTTACGCCGTAAACTAATTCAATTTAAATTTCTACACATACAGTAGAAACCTTAAGCTAATGCAGTCAGTTGTATCAGACCTGTGCTGAGACTCAAAAAGAGGGGAGCGGTCAATTTAAACACATAATTTGGAAATGCCCCCAAAATATTGATCTATAGCATTATAAACTGTTTCATTTTTAATTGGAAAGGTTATCCCATTGGTTTCAAAGACTTGTTTCTTTAACTATTTTATCATGTTCTCAGGAAAGAAATCTAAGAAAATTATAATAATTGCTTGTATGTGTGCAAAAAAGTGAATTGATCTGTTCTGGAATGGCTGTAATGGAATAAAGATGGGGTTAAATCACATGATAGAATAAAATGATAGAATAAAATGGTTTGTAATGAGGGAGATGTTTATAATCCAGACAATGAAATGCGGGAAACAATCTTAAGAATGATCTCCAATTCTATTTTATTTTGGTAACAGCTGTTAACTGTAGCCAGTAATATTAAATGTCTGATAGTTTGTGGCACGGGGGCCTTATACATCTGGCAGGAGGATGGATTGGACAGCCTTTCTCAGAGCAGGGCGGGTTAGGGCTTGTTGATTCTGCTCAGGCATAAGGTGTGCCAGGGAGTTGGCCATCAGAATGTGTTTGTATAATAGGATGTGACTTCAGGGTGTCACCCTTTTGTTTTTCTTCTTAGCTGTGGTTATCGTTTAATCAATGTATGTGCCTGTTTATTAATTTTTTTGTCGGACTGGAAAAAAAAAAAAAAAAAGTGAAAAAAAAAAGTCTAGGGTTTCCCACATGCACAAGTCTTTGATGTGGGTGAGCAATGTGGTGTCAATGACAGAGGAGGAGTGCAACATTCCAAAACACAACATTCCAAAACAAGATTTATTTTCAACATTCAGAGAATTAAAAAAAACATCTTATAAAGAATTTTGGAAAAAAAGAAATCTTACAAGATTGCAAACCAGTATTTCCTCATTAATGAAAATATGGATGACAATGTCATTGAACTGGGAAGAATCAATTCACTGCAGTCACACAAAAACAACTTCAGCAATATGCACACACCAGTTACATCTAGATACAAGAAATAAAATCAGAGCAACCAATCTGAGAAGATGGACCTATCGGTATCACATAAAGAAACTTTGCTGAGCAGAGAGCAGGGGACAAAAGAATACTAACTGAAACACAGCACCCAAGGCATACCCCATGAAGCTCAAACCAGTTACCAAAAAGATCTTGGGGCTACTCTGTTGAAGTCCATTTAGCAAAAGTAGCATGTCCCAGGGGGAAAAAAACTTAAGATCAAAAAGACACACTATCTGGTCTTTGTAGTCTTGTACAAAGAAAATCTCTCTTCCTATGTCTGCATCTCTATCTCTCATCTCCTCGCAGTCATTTCTTTCAGATCTTTTCACTGCCCTAATGAAATCAGCAGCCTTCAGCTGGATTGAATCAACGTGCTGTTGCTGCGATGCTAAAAGAATAAGGTGAGCAGAGGTGCAGTGCAGGGGATTCCAGACCATACAATCACAGCAATTTGCTTTTCCCTGTTACATAAAGCAAAAGATCTCAGTTGACACTGCACATAGAGCATAGCACGTGATGAAGTTGATGTAGCAACATAATGATCCCTTTTCTTTTAAAGTACTAAATTAGCTTAAGAATAACATAAATTGTTTCAAATACAGCAGTGTACAATACAGAACGATAAATATATATATATAATGACTTTCAACTGTTAACACCATGGTACTGTAAGTACCCTGTAAGACTAAAGTTGAATAAAATGGTCATTATTGATGACGTATTCCTTGAAACTGTTCCCGGAATTAATGAACCACAAATAAGAGAAGTGTACATTGGATCCATGATCGACCGAACTGGAGACTGAAATCAGGCGATGAATTGCGTTAGGCCGTAGTGCGATGCTGAGCATGCACCAAATCTGGAAGAGCAAAGACGTCAGCTTCACAACCAAATGCAAAATGGTCCGTGCTATTGTGTTCCCCATATCAATGTATGGGTGTGAAAGCTGGACCCTAAAAAAGCTGACCGAAAGAGGATGGATACTTTCGAGCTATGGTGCTGGAGAAGACTGTTACGGATACCATGGACAGCAAGGGTCACCAATAAAGAGGTTCTGGAGTGCATCAAGCCCGAAATTTCACTTGAGGGAAAGATCACCAGACTCCGGCTCACTTATTTTGGTCACGTGATGCGATCAGATTCATTGGAGAAAGCAATGATGCTTGGAATGGTCAGTGGAACGAGAAGACGAGGCCGCCAAAGAACGCGGTGGCTCGACGCCATCAAACGGACACTGGCTTAGGCATAGAACAGCTGAAAGGGAAAGTCCAAGACCGGAAAGCATGGCGAGAGATGGCCTATAGAATCGCTGAGAGTCGGATCCGTCTGACTGGATAACATCATCATCACATTGGAGATCCCCTTTAATAAAGTGTGTAAGTTGTCTTGGATAAGGTCTTATTAGAAAACAAATAACATCTGACGATTCTTGCTCTCTATGGCATAAATATCTAACAACAGAAATATATACAAATCTCTTGTTCCTTTGGTATTTGTCCTTAAATGATAATACACCATAACTGATGTATTAGAACAAGGCAGGAATTGTGAGAACTCTTGTTACAGAAAGAAAAATGTGTGTGGAAGCAACAAGTGTCACAGGCTATGTTGATTTAAGTTTGCAGGGAATGGGCAGTGTCTCCCTGAGGGTGGTGCATTTCTCTTTTTTTGTACTTGAGCTTGCCTTTAATCAAATGTCTTCCTTGCGCAGACACTTCTTAATTACCATGCAGTTCAGATGTGACATGTGGGATTGTGAGACAT